ATATACTCAATCACCACTGAGTAAAACCATGCATTTTATTGTATGTAAATTAGACCTTAATAAACTGGAGGTGTGATTTTTTTAAAAAATTATTTATTTATGCATGCAAGAACTGGGGTGTAAACCAGAGGTGCGGGGTTGGGGGAGAGAATTCACCAGAGAGAGTGGGGAGCAGAACAGGCAGATGTACTGAAATACACTGTTGAGGGGAGTAGCCGGTGAGACAGGAGAGGTCTGCTGTGCCATGTGGATCAGCTCCCTGGCCGACGGGGGATCAAACTCATGCTGCAGTGGCTGGCTGGCAGTAGCCTGATAGCATTGTCTTTAACCCCTGTGCCACCAGGGAGATGTCATTAAAAAAAAGTACTCAGTGACTTTCTGGGGCCGAGCACTCGTTCAAAAATTTGCTGGTGCACTGAAGCCTTTATCTTTAGAGGCTTCATGAATGTTCCTTCCCCTGCATTCCTGGTACCACCTGTAACCAAGCAAAAAGTCAAACATCTTTTAAGAAAAAAGGAATCCCAGCACCATGCAATGAGATGTCTCAGAGCAAGGAATTAAGTTTGACATGAGGAAGAACTTCCCTGCCAAGGAAAATGGTTACACACTTGTGTGGGGTGGTGAGGAAACAAAGGGGTCACTGGACACCCCGCCTCTGCTCAGTCCTCCTTCACCCATCCCCCCACCCCCCTTTGCTTGGTGCACTCAGCCCAGGCATGGAAACTGCAGGTGACTCAGAGAATCTTAAGTGGCGGTTGCTAGGTTACAAGCTTCCTCCATGTACGCTCAATGTGAGGACTCAAGGGTGTCACCTGGCTGGGAGAAAGAGTCAAGGAGGAAGGAGAAGGGGCGATGGAGTGAAGCCAGGACTTCCAGAACAAGCCCTTAGGCATGGCCGGGAAGGCATTGTGGCCCTGTACTTTTCCACAGGTCTGAGTCCAAGATCCACAGTCCTCACAGAAGTGCTTTCTGGATATGAGCATCAGGTTGGAATGGGGCCTATTCTATGACTAGCTTCCAGTGCTTTCCCAGCGATGTTGCCTGGCAGACAGCATCGCAACAGGGAGAGGGCAGTCACCGGATCCCATGGGCATCAGGGCTCCTTCCTCTACTGTAGCTGAACAAAAAGCCAGAGGCCAGGTGAGAGGAGAAAAGCCTGATTCTTTCAGGGTGCACAATCTCTCATTTGTGGTTGAGTTGTGACAAAGAAAAAGAGCGCTGGACCTGGAACTCACAAGCTAAACCCACTCTGAAGGGCTCAAATTGTCCTAGGTCAGTTACTTCATTTCACTCAGTCTCAGTTTCCTCAGTGCGTAAAGTGGATACTTTTCCTCCAGCTGTTTGAAGACTAGGAGAAAATGGATGTGTGAGTTTAGTTGGGCTGAGTGAGCCATTGCCTCCCGCTCGTCTGCATGCCATCCCATCCTCGTCGCCATGTCCCTACAAGCTTGCCCAGTTCTTGATGGTGAAAATGAGAAAACAGGTCACGAAGCCCATATATGGGGCCAGAAACAAGTCTTTATTATGAGGCAGTGGGAGATACACAGGAAGCAATGGTAGGGGTGTCCAGCAGTAGCAGGCCCCCTGGGCTCCAACAGCAGCGGTGAGTGGCCAGGAAGAAACCATAAGAGGCCAGCCAGTGGCCCTCAGATACCCCCCCCCCAACCAGGAGAAGCCCTATTAGCTTTTATATGATTTATAAACAAGCCCTCACAGGGCCCAGATTAGGCCTAGTTTACAGAAGTGTGTTCTGTGCATGTGAACCATGCATCAAGGTTTCATATTATTTACTGCACTCTGCACATGTGCACGACATCTCAAGGCCACATGTTATCTACTAGGCTGTGCTAGAAGGTCACAGCGAAAAAACTGAGAAACTCTGAGAAAACGCTGTTTACCCCTGGCCCTACAGTCATGCAGACAAAGTAAAATGGACCCTGTGTTCCTGTTGGTGAGGCTGCCCAGCTTGATGGGGCGAAGGGCACAAGCTGCCCTGTGGGCAAAAGAGGCTGAGGATAGCCCCAAACAGGCCCCTTTGAGGGAGGTCTGTGGCTTTCAATCTGCCGGTCCCCCTAAGCTGATTTTGTGAGGATAGTTCAGATTGAGGGGTGAGGGTTGTCTTTGGTTCCTCTGGGCAGGTTGTGATCCTTAGGAAGAAAGAGAACTGTTTGGGGTTTCCTGTGAAATTTCATTAATTCAAACCACAATCTTTTGAAATTTATGAGTTCCTACTGAAGAGAGAAAATAGAACACAACCTTTCTCGGTGAAGGTCCAAGAGATGTTTGCTTTGTAAGTAAAGAAAATTCACACTAAAAGAACTGGAATTTTTGAGCCAAGAGCTCAAGATACTAAGGCAGTTGTGAGCTGTGACTTGTGTTTTTCACATGGGCTCAAAGGTTTAGGATTGTTCTCAGTTTTTCCTTTCCTTGCTTTTGTTGATAGTGGCTGCAGTAGCAATGGTATTAATAGTGATTTACATCAAGATCAAATTAGTGGTTTCTGGAAAGAAGGTGGGTAAATTTGGTAAAAGATGTCAATCGGGGCTTCCCTGGTGGTGCAAAGGGTTAAGTCTCAGGACTATGAAGCTATCAGCAGCCACTGCAGCACTAGTTCAATCCCCAGCCAGGGAAGTGACCCATATGGTGCAGCAGACCTCTTCTGTCTCACCTGCTGTTCCCCTCAGCAGTGCATTTCAGTAGATCCACCTGTTCTGCTCCCCACTCTGTCTCTGGTGAATCCTCTCATCCCCCACCTCTGGCCTGCACCCCAGCTCTTGTATGCATAAATAAATACAATAAATCTTTAAAAAATAAATAAGGATAAAATCAGACTTTGAGTGGTGAACTTAACTACAATATACATAGGCATTGACTTATAATGATGCACACCTGAAACTTATATAACGTTATGCTGTAATGTTGCCATGTGTCAGAACTGAACTTGATAAATATTACCTCTTTAATCTTCACAAAAATCTCCAAGGATATATCCATACCATGGACTGCTACTAAGAAATGAAGAGCCATCCACACAACCCCTATTGATGCACACAACCCCTTGGTGGAAACATTTGTGCTGGGGAAAGTCAGCCTCAACAGGTTACATACTATACGATTTTATTTCTAGAACATTCTTGAAATGATAAATTGTGGAAATGGAGAACAGATTCCTGTTGCCAGGGGTTGGGGAAAAAGGGGCATAAAAGGGCAGCATGAAGAATCCCTGTGGTGATGGAAAAGGTCTGCATCATAAGCTTCAATTTCCCCTGCCTGGCTTTGATAGTGTCAGATGCCACCATTGAGAGAAAATGCAAGTTTTATTTCTCACAATTGCATATGAATATATGATTTATCTCAAAACGAAAAAATTAAATTAAAATAGTATGAAGAAATTGAGGCTCAGAGTAGTTAGATAATCTCAGACCCAGAATTCAAGCCCCAGAGTGTCAAACGCCCCCATGCCTGACTATTTCAAGATTTGAGGACACTCCAGGAAACCAGGCAGGAGACCCCAAAGACTGTGCATTCCTCAAACCAGGTGGCCCACTGGTCTCACAGACGACTTTGTCACTGGGGACTGCTGTCCTGAAAAGACTATTTATTAGAGAGGCTTGAAAGAATTATTTGGCAGGCCCTGCGAGCGGGCACCAGAGCCAAGCCTGGATAAGGTTTCCCCTTCCCAAGGTATGTGACGGGATGGAGGAGGGGAGGGTGAGGCCTGCCTGCCTGTCTACCAGCTTCAGAGTCTGGTTCAGCGTCCGCACAGCTGCCACTCAGCGTGGAAGTGTCTTTCCGGGCGGGTGGGGGCGGGGCGGGGCAGAGCGCCCCGTGTCCCCGCCTTGTCCTTGTCCGCATGCACCTGTGCCCGCTCTGCGTGTGTCACACCCACAGTGTTTCGACCAGGTTAAGCCACAATCCCTCCCCCAAAGCAAAGCTGACTGTTGGAGCAGCCTGTCACGAACTGGGTCTGTGTACTGTAGATAAACTGGGTAATTGGACTCTCCGCCTGCTCGTGCAAAACAAACACTCCCACACCGCCCACCCCGCGCCGGAGGGAGCCCGGCCCTGTCGTCTGGGTTCTTGGCTCTAGCGCCCTGCTTTCCCCGACCCGGTGGACGAGGCGAGCAGGTCCCGCTGGGGTCTCCCCTCCCCCGCCGCCGGACGCCGCGGCGCTTATGTAAAGAGGTCGCGGCTCGCTCCGCCCGGGGTGCGCGCGGATCCCGCACAGGTGTGGCGGCTGCGGGGGGCGCGCGTGCGGCGGCTCCCGGCTCTCTCCCGGCCGCGGCCGCTCGCTCTCTCCTCCGCCAGCCCGGCCGCGGCGTTCCGCCGGGGGAGGCCAGAGCGCCCGCGGCCCCGCGCCCCGCGCCGCCGGGCGGGGGCTCCCGGCTCGCGGGTAACGCGCGGTCTGCGCCGGCCGCCGCGCTCCTCCGGCCGGGCCGTGTAAGTGGCACGGGGCGTGGGCGGGAGACTGCGGGCGTGGGGGCGGCGTTGGCGCCCAAAGGTGTTAAGTCCCCGCTCCGCCCGCGGGCAGTCGAGCGCCCCGCACCCCGGAGAGCCCCCGCCCCCCGCCTGCTCAGCTGGTTTGCGACCGGCGGGCGGGGAGGGGCCGGGACAAAGCGGCGGCGGGCGCGAGGCGGCCGCGGGGTGGCGCCCTCGGCGCGTCTTCCCCGTAAAGTTGGCGAGGGGTGGGAGCCCGCCCGCCCGCCCGCCCGCCCGCCCGCGCCCGGAGGCGAGAGCGCGTGGCCCCGACTGCCCTTGATTCGCCCGGTTCCTCCCGCAGGGCCGGGCGTGGACGCCGCCGGGCCGCCGAGCCTTGAGGGACCGTGACGCGCTGGCCGGCGTCGGGGCCCTGGCCGGGGGTCGGGCGGGAGCCGGCGCACCAGAGCGAGATGGAGGCGGCGAGAGGGGGTGCGGAGTAGCCCGCGGACCCCCGGGCTCGCACCTTCCCCGGCGCCCTAGCGCTCGGCCCGCGCGGGGGCGCGGCGGGCCGGGCCCCCGGGGCAGCCATGGAGGTGCCCAACGTCAAGGACTTCCAGTGGAAGCGCCTGGCGCCACTGCCCAGCCGCCGGGTGTACTGCTCCCTGCTGGAGACCGGGGGGCAGGTCTATGCCATCGGGGGATGTGACGACAATGGCGTCCCCATGGACTGCTTTGAGGTCTACGCCCCCGAGGCCGACCAGTGGACAGCCCTGCCCCCCCTGCCTACGGCCAGGGCCGGGGTGGCCATCATCGCCCTGGGGAAGCGGATCATGGTGATCGGGGGCGTGGGCTCCAACCAGCTGCCCCTGAAGGTCGTGGAGATGTACAACATCGATGAGGGCAAGTGGAAGAAGAGGAGCATGCTGCGAGAGGCCGCCATGGGCATTTCTGTCACGGCCAAAGGCGAGTGGGGTCAGGGCTGTGGGCGGGTGAAGCTGAGCGAGTGGGGGGCCGTGCTGGCAGGGATGAAAGCCAACACTACCAGGCCATCAGGGGAGTCAGGACAATCACAGTGCAATGTGACTGTTGCAGTGTGGCTCTCATCTGATCTTTACAATAGGCACTAAAACTAGAGACCCGCTGGCCTTGTTTTACAAATGAGAAAACAGACTCAGCAGTGACGTGCCTGGTAATTCCCTGTGATGTCAGAGCTCCACTCCACCAGGCTTCTCCAGGCTGGGCAGGCCCAGCTCTAGTGCATGATCTCTGCAGACCCCTTCATTCAGCAGAGTGGATCCTCCCACCCACAACTCCCCACCCCTCTGAAGGCTGCTTTGCAGGTACCACCACCTCTAGACACTCATTTGGGTCCTGGGAAGGGTCACTCCATCCACAGCATCACCAGGCGACACTGGGAGGGCTTAGGAACCAGATTCCAGGGCCTTATCCCCACCCTCTATCTGATCTCTTATGGGTGGATCCCGGCGTGTCCCCAGGGGTATGCTCCTGCGGCATCTTTCCCAGATTCATGAAGTCCTCAGAGCATGCATGTGCTGACCTCCAGGTTTTATATGCTTGTTTTGCTTTGTCCAAGACCCTTAATTCCTTCTTTTTCAACCTGGCACAGCCTGGAGCAGGGAGGGTTCTGAAAGCCCTTTGCTAAACAGAGTACAAAGGGAATGATGGCCTATGGGAAACAGCCCAATAAGAATTAGGAGTCTCCAAGTTTTGACAAGTTTAGTGGGATACATCCTCTGTCCCTCTCTTGCAAAACTACCTAGCTGTGTGTTGGGTCTATGGCAGACAGGAACCAGCATTTCTTGAGCCCCTACTCTGTCCCTGACAAAGTTCTAGGTCCCAAGGAGGAAGGAAAGAAGCAGCCATCTGCTTCCTGCCTCTAGGAGCCTGGGTCTGATCCATAAAGGTGACCAGACAGAAACTCGAGCCCAGACTCCTTTGGGGCATAATTGCCAGTACAGCCACCACAAACTCCCAGTAAGAGGGATGGACAGGGTCTCCCTGGTGGCCTAGGGGCTAAGTCTCTTGCTATCACTGTTACAGTCTGAATTCAATCCCCGGCCAGGGAGGTGACCCACATGGCGCAGCAGACCTCTTCTGACTAGCCTGCTGCTCCCCTCAGCAGTGTATTTCAGTAAATCCACCTGTTCTACTCCTCCCTCTGTCTCTGGTGAATCCTCTCACCCCCTGCACCTCTGGCCTATACCCCATTTCTTCTACACAAAAATATTAAAGAAAAGAAGGATGGAGGCCTGTGGGGAGAGAGAAAGGAGGGACAAAGGAAACGGAAGGGAAGAGAACTCTTCATCCTAAGCGTCAGTCAATGGTGCCAAAAGATTAAGAACTAACTTTTAACCTCTTTGATCATCAGACCGGTCTGATGAGGTAAGTGCAGTTAATGTCCTCATTGAAAGTGATGTGAGGCTCAGAAAGGTTAATTAACTTGCCCAAGGTTACACAGCTAGTAGGTGATAATGGAGTCTAGGCTCTTAACTATGACATTGAATGGGTTCAACAGCTAATTTAATAAGCATTTACATGCCTGGGAGCAGATGCTGGGGCCACAGATTAACAAATTCTAAGGGACCTAACAAACAGTCTCCTGAAAGAAACAGAAGCTTTCAGCAACGTGATGATGCGGGCTCCAAGGGCGCCCCGCCCTGTGCTCAGCTCCCGCCCTGCTGCTTGGGGACACAGTGAATCTTAAAGGGTGAGAGAGAACTGAGCGCAGGAGTGGGTCGTGGGGCACAGGAGGATTCACAGCTCAGAGTTGTGTTTCAGGTAGCATAGAGGCGGGAGAGAGCTGGAGCTCGGTAAAGTATCTCCCAAAGAGTCCCCATCTCCTACCCAGGCTACAGTTGGGATTTTTTTTTTTTTTTAGTCAGATTGGAAAGTAGTAAATAATACTCATCCCTGCATACCCTTGGGGAGTAAAGACCCCCTTAAAGCCGGGCACAGTGAGGACTGGTTCCTGGAGACATGCAGGAATGGGTTCCTGGGGAAAAGGAGGGGCTGTGTACTGGACAGGCCACAGGAGGGCCTGGGCTGATGCCTTGGCCATCCTCTGTGTGTGTCAGGGACAGGCCTTGAGAGGCCCCTCACAGCTGAGAGCGGGGAGGGGATTCACTTCTCAAGGCCAGCACAGTTTCCTTGCCTGCAGAACTTCACCCTCTTCTCCGCGAGTCCTCGCCCATTTAGTGCAGGACTCTCCTGGAGCCCCCACACGTGTGGAAGAGGACGGCACCCTTCCCCACCCCGCTGGGCGGCAGAGGGAACCAACAGCAGTCATGTCCAACAAGGCCAGTGACAGCAGAGCTGACCTCATTTCCAATGGACCTGCTAGGTCTGGAGTTCTGATCTGGGAGTGTGTAGGGAACAGGCCACTACTGGAGGGCGCCAGAGGAATCCCCCTCTTCAGCATCCCCTCTGGCTTCCCAGGAGGGAGGGGAATGAAAGGGACAAGACTGACTGGTCCAGGCCCCAGCTTTACCACAGCCTTTTCCTATAGGGTGTTTGGGGCTTAACCAAGTCCGGACGCCAAAGAAGGCTTGACACGGCTTCAAGAAGATCCAGGTTGAACATGGCAGACTTAATGGCACCATCACCCCCACTGCCATATGCAGAGCTCACTGTGGAGCATCCTGGGAACCAGCCTGGCTTCAGTGCTGGTGTCCAAGGGGTCATCAGAGGTTGGCGTTGTCAGGGCTGAGTCCCGATGGGCCTGTCTCCCGTGCCCGCCAACTGAGTGTGGTGCTGTGTGGCCTTTCTCCTTAGATTACCGAGTGTATGCGGCAGGTGGGATGGGCCTGGACCTCCGTCCACACAACCACCTCCAGCATTACGACATGCTCAAGGACATGTGGGTATCTCTGGCACCAATGCCCACCCCGAGATACGCTGCCACCTCCTTCCTCCGAGGCTCCAAGATCTATGTGCTGGGTAAGGGTGGGTCATCTGTCCCACACCTGTCCCGCTCCCCCTCGGGTCAGACCCATGGGAAGCAGCACCCGTGCTGAACATCATCTTGGCATGGGGGAGGGGGATCATGCCTCACCACCTTTCAGGGAGCTCTCTGTCTGAATGGGCAACAGTCAGAAAGGAACACCCAGCCCCTGTCCCCAGGGACTTGCTCTTCTGCCCAACACCCACCCGCTCTGGCCTCCAGGGGGACGACAGTCCAAGTATGCGGTCAATGCCTTCGAGGTCTTTGACATCGAGACTCGCTCCTGGACCAAGTTCCCCAGCATCCCCTGTAAGCGGGCCTTCTCCAGCTTCGTGACCCTGGACGACCGCTTGTACAGCCTGGGAGGCCTGCGGCAGGGTCGGCTCTACCGGCAACCCAAGTTCCTGCGCACGATGGACGTGTTCGACATGGAGCAGGGTGAGCCAGGCGCCGGCCTCTGGACTGCCCACTCCCGCCCTGCCCCAGCCACTTACCCCACTGGGTGAGCCCTTCAGAAGTCCCAACATCCCTTTCCTTTGGGGACTCCTCTTGGGATAAATTCTGTACAGGGCTTTGACTGGTTGTTGTTATTGAAGACTTTTCCATCTATTGTCTCGTCTTAAAATATCTAGATGGCGCCAGGTAAGGGAGGGATTTTCTTGGTTTTTACTGGTGGAGAAGTAGAGCTCATGACTCCTACTCTGCCTCCAGTTAGGCGCTCTGCAGAGTCAGCCCATGGACCTGAGGGGGATCAGAGGGTCGCAGAGGGGTTTGGGGCTCCCTGATCTGCATCAAGCTCGGGAGAGGGGAGCCCAGAGAGCCCCTATGTCCAGCAGTGGAAGGTGTTGTGTGAGCCCTGAGCACAAAGGGTGGACAGAGTGGAGGATCTTCTAGAACAGGAGCTCTTTGGAATGCTGGGTGTGTTTGGTGGGAGTGGAGCTCCTAATTCTGTGTCCTGCCATTGCCATGGCCTGCAGGAGGGTGGCTGAAAATGGAGCGCTCATTCTTCCTCAAGAAGCGGCGTGCAGACTTTGTGGCCGGGTCCCTGAGTGGACGGGTCGTGGTGGCCGGAGGACTTGGTAAGGGTGGAGCTTCCAGGTTGGTGCTGTGGTTCTAGTGTCTGCTGGGCCCTTGGCACTCTGCAAGAGCAGGAGAGTTCTTGCACACTGCTTCATCCCTCCAAAATCAAAATACCCCTTCCTCCTGGCACAGGCTTCACATATCCATGTATGGGCCTCAGTGTGGCCTTCCTGCTCACACACACGGAAAACTGAGAGAGCCTAGGGACATGCTGACACCCACGTAACACGGCGTCCTGAGCACAGGTCCCCGGGCCCTATGATAAGTGGGTGGAGATCAGAGTGTGGGGAACACAGCGTGGTCCTCTTTCTCTGCCCCACCTTTTAGTCCTGGATGCTCTGTCTTGGAATAGGCAAAGCAATCTATGAAGTCAGGCTTCACTTATTACCCCTCCCAGGGGTTATTAGTATTTTGAAGGCAGGAAGGACCCAAACAGCGAGAGGCATATGGGCTTCCGGGCGCCCAGAGTTTACTCAGTGGGAACAAACTCCACTTTAGTCATGCATGAAAAGAGCTGGATGTGACTAGGTCACATGGGCCACCTTTTTAGTAAAAGGCAAGAGAGAACTGGGAGCATCTCGAAATTTCTGGTAAAAGTAAGGAGTAGAGAAAGAAAGCTTTCTCTTGAGGAGGTAAAAAGACAGGGAGAAGGCAGGAGAGGGAGCAGCCTGCAGTCCAGGAAGTTGTGGGTGCCCGGGGAGTGTGGGAGTGGGGTGCCCGCTGGCTGGGTGGGTGGCTGGACTCCTTTGTAAGGTTGGGTTTCCGTGGTTCTTTCAGGGAACCAACCCACTGTGCTGGAGACGGCAGAGGCGTTCCACCCAGGGAAGAACAAATGGGAGGTCCTGCCCGCCATGCCCACGCCCCGCTGTGCCTGCTCCAGCATTGTCATCAAGAACTGCCTCCTGGCCGTGGGGGGCGTCAACCAGGGCTTGAGCGACGCAGTGGAAGCCCTGTGTGTCTCTGACTCCTAGCTGCCCCTCGCCTTCGCCCGGAATGCGGCCACCCCCCTCTTGACGTGAGGAAGTGGCCTGGGCTCCTTCCCGGGTGCTAGCGCTGTCAGCAGAGGGTGGAGCCCCGCCCCAGCGTTTTAGGTGATCTCTCTCTGCCTCCGAACCCGACCAGCCCCGGGAAGCTGTAAGGAGCCCCGATGATCCCACCAGCCCCTGTTGGAGTCAAGAGATCTCTGGGCAGAGTCCTCACTGCTGCCCGGGCAGCGGAGACGCAGGGCAGCTACCTCCCCTCTGTGGGCACCGCCTGCCTGTCCCGGGGTAGGAGGCGGGCAGGCAGTTCGGAAGCAGAAGATGAGCAGCCGTTGCTGTCCTCTCCCAGCTCAGAACCAGTTGAGGGTCTCTTAGGATGGACAATGGGGACAGGTTGGTGTGGGGGGGTCCCAAACCTCTCCCCTCTCCCTCGGTCTGCATCCTCTTGTCTGGTGGTCAGCTGTGGCCAGCCCTGGACCGCATGTACTGCGCAAGCGCCCGCCTGGAGCTAGAGGCAGCCACGGGGAGGAAGGCAGGCTTGCCTGCACGGGCCGGGTCAGCAGCCTCGGCCAGGACGGAACCTCCCGTCAGGGTCCTTGAAGGGAATGTGGCAAGAAGGATGGTGCCTACTCCCAGCCCGGGTCTGCTCCTTCCTCTCCTCGCTCCAGTTCTCCCTCCGCCACTGCTCCCCACCTGAGGCCTGGCCCTCCTGTCACCGACAGCCCCAGAGTTTCTGTGTGAAACCTTCTCATCTACACTGTGGCATCCAAATCCTCAAAGGCTGGATTCATTGCACTCCGGTTCACAGCAGCAGCACAATGATTAAAATCTATATTCCTATCTCCTCTGGCATGCTGGTGCGGGGTGGATGGGTGGATGGGTAGAGGGCACCCTGTGCAACATCTCTGGCGTTCTGGGGCTAACGTGGGCCCCCGGGCCCCATTGGCTCTCAGCTGTTCCCTCTGAGGAGGTTCCACCTCTAAACTATCACCCCACGCTCACACCAGTCGCCTCCCTCCCAGTCAGCAGCCAGTTTCCCTTCTCTCGGCTCTGCGGCTCCCAGCATGGTGTAAGGAAAGGCTGTGCTGGCAACTGACATCAGGTTACTTGGGTGTCACCTCAGGCCATTCAGCTGAAGTGAAGAGAGTGGAGAGAGCCATGTGGAGAGAGCCATGGCTCCCTGGCTAAAGAGCTTGAAAAGCATGCCTCCCGTTAGCTCACACGGCACCTCTTTCTGATGGCCAGTTAGTTTTTTAAAGCCTTGCTGGCACTGAGGTCTCAGAGATGATGACAGAGCATGCCCGGAGGAGTTGTGGAGGAGTCAGTGTGGAGGAGCAAGACCACTGGTCCAGATCTGGGGGTCAGGGAGCCTCCCAGAGGCGGTGCCACCACCAACGATCCTTCAGGGACAAGCCGGATCTGGGTGTTTGCAGCCTAGGGGTTTCTCCCTCTCTGGATGCCTGAGCTTTTCTTAGCAGCCCCCCAGGGCACCGCCACCTGCTGGCGGTCATGCCTCCCCGTGGGGAGCAGCCTGTGGCCATAGGCGCCACCTGGTGAGCAGACTGCAGAGGAGCCTTCTCTAGTGCTTCTGGACCCCCTATTTCTGTTCAGCTCCCTGAAGGGACTTAGAAAAAAGGGCCGAGGGAACTGGAGACAGAGGGGTGGAACAGCACCTCAGGGGCGCCATTGCATGGTCCAGCCCTGCTCCTCCTCTTTTGCTTCCATTTCTGCACTGCTGCCTCCCACCCCCTCCAAGAGAAGTGTTTATAAAAGGGGTACCTCCAGCCTTTCCAAAGAGGAAAGCAAGTCATTGGACCGAGGCGTTTTAAGAGGTCAGAACCTTAGGGGAACAACCAGCCCGAGGCTCTTCCCTGATGGGAACAAGCCATTAACGACAAGAACCTGCTCTGACCGCTCAGGGCTGGAACTGGTAGCTGCTGAGAAAGCACCTCTTGGAAGCCCATTCTGAGGAGACTTTGGGGTCCCCACTGAAGAGCCAGGGAAGTAGGGAATATGGGGTTGTACCTTATGCCATGGAGGCAGCCTGGGACCTGGGGTGGGAAGACCTGGTTCTAGGCCCTACTCCCTCCCTCTCCAGGAGAGTCACTGTCCATCTCTGGAAAGCCCCCACCCCCGCCTTCATCCATATTTCCCAGTCTCTAGTCAAGGGCCTTGATGCTGTCTCGCAAGGTGGTGAAGTATCCGGCTTCATCCTCAGATCAACTCTGATATGGGTAGTTCCTGCCCATTTTGCAGATGAGAAAACTGAGGCTGGAAGAGGTTCTATAACCTGCCCAAGGTTATAGGTTAGTAAGTGAGGGAACCAGGTCTGACTTCCATTCCGTGACCACAACACTGCGCTGCCTCAAATGAGATGGCACACGGGCAAGGCAAGGGCAAGCTGCTGCTCCGCAGGATGGAAGGGTTTCCCAGGCCAGTCCAGAAGGATGGAGGCCGCTGCCCAAGGAACGTGTGTGAGGGCTGGGAAGGGCTTCCTAATACGAGATGAGCATAGAGTGTTTCTGAATTGACCATGAGCTTTCATTCTGCTGTCTGCCCCAAAGGCTTGTCTGACCCTGAATACATGGCCTGTGCTTGGCACAGTGCTGCTCTTAGCAGCTGCCGTCCTGGGAGGGGGTCAGGGCACTAGATCTGCAGTTACTATTTGATGAGATCGGTGGTGGCCTTGGCTAATTCCACCCACAGGTACCCCACAGTGACTGCAAGGTGGAAAGGAACTGAGGGCAGCAGGGAGATTTCCAGAAGCTGAATCTCAAACTGTACCATGAAAGATGAGGGAGATGGCCCAGGAGAGGCAGATAGCCTGGGTTCAAACTGTCGTGTACTGGCTGATGTTGGGTTTGTTGTTAACCTCTGAGTTTGTTTTCTTATTTATAAAACAGGAAAAATAAGGCTAAGAATTACCTACTCTCGGTGAGCTGTCTCACGTACTATACTGTAGGAGGGTAGCCGCATTGTGGTTTCTGTTGTTGAGGTTGTTGGTGAGGTAGAGGCGCTCTCCAGCCTACCGAGGGAGGGCTTGGCTTATTTGGGGAATAGAAGCCCATAGGAAGAACTAGGAAGATGGGCAGGAAATGCCCGTGGTGCAGATGAAGAGAGGCCTGCCTTGCCTTGCTCAGGATTCGGAACTTTCTCCCTTTGGGAAATTTGAAGCTAACTGAGAGTTTGAGGTGGAGGAGCACTGTGGTTAGATATGTGCCAGCGAGACGTGGGGGTTGTCTTTTTTTTTTTTTTTTTTTTTTTTTTATAGAGGCATGTTTTTTGTTTATTTATTTATTTGTTTGTTTATTTGTTTGCTAGTTTATACATGCACTGGGTACAGTCAGAAGCGCGGGAGGGTGAGAGAATTCACCAGAGCCAGAGCGGGGAGCAGAGCAGGCAGAGGCGAAGTACACTGCTGAGGGGAGCAGCGGGCGGCAGGAGAGGTCTGCGCCATGTGGGACCCTCCTCCGGTGGCTGGGGAGCAGCCGGGGATTGAACCGGCGCTGCAGAGGCCGCGGGCAGCTTCGCAACCCAGCGCTCAACCGCTGCGCCACCGGGGAGGCCCGGGGTTGTCTTTTGAGGAAATAAAGAGGAATCACCAGCACACCATCAGAAAGAACCCCAGCTGGGGTTGGAGTCCTCCAAACAACACACAGTCAAGACCCTCTGGAGAAGGGTCATCAGCTGGGCAGCAGAATGCCCGAGGCTTCGGGATCCTCAGAGAGTGGAAATCTCTCTTCTTTATTTCCTTTCCCCGAGGAGTTCTATCTAAGAGCCTCTTGCATTGCATTGGTGGTTTTCCCACTCTCAGATCCTGCCCAGGAGGTGGGGTGTGGTTGGCCTTTTCCCACCCCCATCTTACAGAAGAAACTGAGAACTGGGAACCCTGTCCCTAAGCTAGGAGGCAGCTGGTAAGAGATGGAAGGAAATTCTAACCTGGCTTGGAGGTGCACCCCACTGCGGTAAGGGGAGTGGCGGTGGTGGTCCAGAACAGGACTAAGGCCTGAAGCCAGAGGCCCCCAGCTCCAGAGAACTGGCCTTACCTGCTGGGTGAGATCAAACTCAGGGTGGGCACAAAAAAGGACCCAGGCAGCTTGGAGATGAAAGTGTCCGTGTTTGTTTCCCACTGCTGCTGTAAGGAAATATCACAAACCGGTGACTTAATATGCAGAAACGTGTTGTCTCACAATTCTGAAAGTCTGAAATCGAGGAGTGGGGATGGGGGCCCTCCTCCCCTCTTTCTAGCTCCAGCAATCTTCAGTCTGTGGCAGCTTGTAACTCTGCAGGCAGCTTCCCCTCCTAAGTGTCAGCATCCGCTCTGCTCACCTGGAACCACCCCATCCGTTGCCTCAGGGCCATCCTAATCCAGTGTGGCCTTATCTTAACATGATTACATCTGCAAGACATATTTCCAAAGGAGTCCCATTCACAGGTTCCAGGGCTTAGGATGGCAACCTATCTTTGGGGAGATACAACTCAATCACAACTCCATGAAGTGCATGGATGAGTGGGGCCAGAATAAGAGTCCCCTGAGGACTGAGCTGATCCTGGAAGCCTTCCTGGAAGAGGCTGTTATTATAAGTGGGTCTCGAGGGAAGGAAGACTTGAGTGCCAGAGTCCCCACACAGGAGTGGGGAGTGGTGTGAAGAGAGGTGAGGAGGCCAGTAGCAGACTTTGAAGAGAGTGTGGAAGCTGCCAGAAGACTGGTTCAGGGGAAGATGGACAGAAGTGTGCCGCAATTGTTCTAGCCACGCCTCTTATACCTCCCACTCCCCACCCAAGGACAGATTAGCTGGAAACCAAGTGGTCACCCAGTCCCAATGTCCCTGCCACACCAGCTCATTTGCTGCTTTGGGTTGTTGACTACGCTGCTCCGTCCTCCAGATGCTCCACCACAGTTAGCGGAAACGCTAGTGGGAACTCTTGTGTCCTTGAATCCCACAAGCTTGGGGAAGACTGGGATGGGTCTGTTTTACAGATGGAGAAACTGAGACCCAAGGAACCCCTGACTCCCACAAGGTGTCCTGAGCACCTAAGCCCTGTGAATGGGGACCAGGCCGCTCTTGTGTAGCTTCACATTCTTAGCACTTTGTTCGTGTGGGGCACAGAGCCTGCACCTAAGAACCATGTGTTGAGTGAGTGGAGGACTCCTCAGGGGAGGACGAGGACCAGGTCCTGGTGACCCTACCACCTACCTCCTCCAAAGGGGAAAGAATTGGCAGCTGAGTCAGAGGGTGAGGGGTGGGAGGGGCGGGGGGGGGGTCTGCAAAATGTCTGAAGACCTGGTATCTGAGTTTAGGTTTTCTGGGTGACTCAGGGAGAAATCTGTCTCCGTTGGGGGTCACCCTCACCTGTCCCATTCCCCTCATCCTCCACGTTGCTGCCGAGAAGAACAAGGGCCGTGAGGAACTACGGACTTGCAGTTGAGGACTGGTCTCTTGGTCTCTAACTGGACCATCCAGACTCCTTTCTCTGTCTTGGCAGGGATGGGGTGGCTGTCCCAGCAGAGCTGGGGGCCAAGGCACTGTCTCTGGAAGGTGGCCCACCTCCCTGCCTTACATGCTGGGCAAGGCAGACTCTGGGGTCCCTGCCTTCACAGAACAGAAAGTGGGCCTTGGACCTAATCTCACTTTAGCAGTTCATATTCTTAAAAACAAACATCCATGGGGCCTCCCTGGTGGCACAAGGGGTTAAGATGCAGCACTATGATTTATTTTTATTTATTTATTTATTTATTTTTTATAGAGGCATGTTTTTATTTATTTATTTACTTATTTGTTTTGTTTGTTTGTTTATACATGCACTGGGTACAGTCAGAAGCGCGGGAGGGTGAGAGAATTCACCAGAGCCAGAGCAGGGAGCAGAGCAGGCAGAAGGACCGAAGTACACTGCTGAGGGGAGCAGCGGGCGGCAGGAGAGGTCTGAACGCCATGTGGGACCCTCCTCTGGTGGCCGGGGAGCAGCCGGGGATCGAACCGGCGCTGCAGAGGCTGCAGGCAGCTTCGCAACCCAGCGCTCAACCGTAGATGCAGCACTATGAATCATAGCACTACGAGTTCGATCCCCGGGTAGGGCGCTGACTCACATTGTGCAGCACACCTCTCCTGTCTCACCCGCTGCTCCCCTCAGCAGTATACTTCAGTGGATCCAGTTGTTTTGCTCCCCACTCTGTCTCTGGTGAATCCTCTCACCCACCACATCTCTTACCTGCACTCCAGCTCTTGTATGTATAAATAAATAAATCTTAAAAAAAAAAACTTTAGGGCCTCCCTGGTGGCGCAATGGGTTAAACACTGCACTGTGAAGCAGTCCACAGCCTCTGCAGCACAAGTCTGATTCCTGGCCGGCCAGGGAGAAACCCATATGGCGCGGCAGACCTCTCCTGTCTTGCCTGCTATTCCCCTCAGCAGTGTACTTCAATCTGCCTGTTGTGTTCCCAATTTGTCTCTGGTGAATCCTCTCACTCCCCAAATCTCTGGCTTGTACCCCAGCTCTTGTATGCATAAATAAATAAATCTTTAAAAAAAAAAAAAACATTCATAAAGGAACTGTAATTTACAAGTCCCTTTCCAGGCTCCTCATTTCAGATTCAGCTGCGGGTTTGTGGGAGGATGGGCTTGATTGGAGTTGCCTTTCAACTTGGTTTCGCTCCACTTCAGACTTTCTTTCTAGCACCTTCAGGAAGCTGCTCTATCCTGGGTCACAGATGACCTCCACATCTCCGCTCTTCTCACCCCACACCACTTGGGTGGTCTCTACTCCCAAGGCCACTTTCTTAGTGCCGACCTCATCTGTCATGGTCTCCTGGTTAGTAGCCTCTGCCTGCAGGTCCCACCCTCCCTGCTGACTCCAACCCGCTCTCCACACCCCTGTTAATGTCCCCCTGCCCTTTCAGAAATCTTTCTCATCTACAAATCTGATGAAGTTGGCACACAGCTCAACACCCTCCCTCTCTGGCCCATCAGCTGACTCCCAGCCCCTCCTGGTCAGGGCCTTTCACCAAGGCCCCAGCCTCCCCTCCTCACCTCTGCCCAGCTGTCAGTTCCTTTGGAGCCAGCAGTTCCCAATGGAATGTGCTTGCCTCCCTGTCTGCTCTGTCCCTCTGT